GCACTTTGCATCAGGTGGAAAACAAAAGCTCAAACGGACACAAAGCTACCTATCATAAGGAGTGGCATAATGCACAGGCAAATAGTGCAGTCAGGGTGGTAACCTAATGCCAACACACCATCATCTGACCAACCCTTATTCTGAAAAACACCTTATAAGGAGCTGAGATGCCCACACAACCATAAACAGTATAACAAGGTCACAGTATATTAACCCTTTACTACGCTATGCTAGCATACATTAGTTACCAATGTTAGAAAGTAACTAAGTAGTTGTTCTTCTAAAGCAACTCTTCTGTGTTATAACACTCAATCTGTTATTATAAGATTGTACAGAGGTGGAAAGTAACTAAGTACATTTACTCAAGTATTGTATTTAAGTAGAATTTTGAGGTATCTGTACTTAGACTATTTCTTTTACTTGACTTCACTTTGACTTCACTATATTTTAGAGGCATATATTGTACTTTTTACTTCACTACATTTATTTGATCAATTTAGTGCTAGTTCCTTTTCAGAATCAGAATAACTATACAAAATAAAACATAATCATCTAACTTTATTGACGGTTGCAAACTCACAAAATGCCCTGGCGTACTTCAAATTATAAGCTTATAAGGTAATTAAAATTTGCTCCACCTTTACCAGCTGCAACATTAAATGTGATGTACACAATATTGTGTCAATAATTGTAATCCAGTAATATGACATTAATATGAAATATGCTATTCTGCATAATGAGTACTTTTACTTTTGGTACAGAAAACTGGTGCCGATGGCACCGGTTCCTATACAGTCGGTATCTACCAGACTGATGCACAATGCAGACTTTGGTGCCTCATTTTGGTACAACTTAAATACCTGTTGATTGAAATATTTGCCCTCTGGTGCTGTGAAACGGACTATATGGGCAACAGAAACATCACTGTACATAATCTACTAGTGCTATCATCAGACTTATGCTGTGTTCTATTTACCTGGGAGCTCAGAAGTCAGAGCTGGGAATGAATGGGAATGTTTTTTTAATGTCGTCAACTTTCGTTTTATGTAGGGTATACATTTCATGACTGCCATTGCCCTGGCATCTGGCCATGATGCCCTGTATAGCTGTCAGAGTTACATGGCCACAGTGGCCAGTGTGCCATTATTAGATCCATCAGATTTGAAGAGCAATCTCTGTAAATAATTGTTCATGTCCTGTCACTCACATAGGTGCTTGAGAGATTATTTCTCAGTGGATCTAAGTCATAACTTTTTAAAAATGGTGCAATTTTGGTTTGGTACAGTTTTGTAAGGGAAGGCTGTAGAAAGATTTTTTGGGATAGATTTCTGAAATATCAGATAAACCTGAGATCCGTCTCACCTCTTCATTAGGTGCCATGCTTCTGCTCCCGTGGCGCTCAGCCGTGTCAGTGCCCAGGGTCTTATAGTAGTCCCCAGTGCTAGGTTTCTTGCTGAAGCTCCTTGACTTCCTGTTTGAATCCACACGTATCAGGTTTTCGTGGTTTACTCCAGGACCAAGTAGCTTAAGGAAAAAAAAGTGATAAATAAAAATGGCCTTAAATTGCTTTGGTTTAACATACTCATTACCTTTAATCTGCATGGTTATATATTTTTTTGAATACATTTCTATTTTGCTCATTTAACCCAGAAATGATAAATGAACGTTCAGCCCATTCAGACAGGAAAGAGTCTGTGACAGAATAATACATTTATATTTAGCACCTTTTGAATGTTTGAATTTAGAGCTGAAATGGTTAGTTGATCAGTTGATAAGTGGATCAAATTGTCAACTGTTTTGATGCTCAGTTAATCAAAACTTTGTAAATATGGGGATTTACTGAAATTATCTGTCTTACATAATAGTAAACTGTATATGTTTGGGATTTGGACTGATTGTTGGACAAAACAAGCAAATGGCAATGTTACTTTGGGCTTTCGCTATTTACTGGTATTTTATAGAAACCAAAAAAATGAAAAAAAAAATCAGCAGATTACTTAGCAATAAATCTAATTCTTATTTACAGCCTAAAGTGAAAGTGACAACAAATGACAAGGTTAGATTCATTAGAAGCTGTAGGAAGTGAAATAGTGCATTCACTGTTCACTATGCAAAACATTAATTAGACTTGATATATTTTGTACAGTAATGTACAGTTCACCTTGTATTCATTTCTACAGAAGAAAAAGGAGTCGGTGAATATCAGAGTGATATTATGATTCAATAATGATAGTTGTCAACATAGGTATTTGGTTGACAAAAAAACAGAACTATTGAAGTTTAATTAAGAAATAGTGACGAATGAGATGAAGTTGGTTCGGAGTGAACTTGGCATTTGTAGCACAACACGCTGTTAGATAGACACTTAGTAGCACTGGCACTGGCTGCCAGATCAGCTCACTCGTGAGACCAAAGCAGCTTTATTTGAATAAGAGAACAGAGCTTTAATTCAGTTCCAGGAAAATATTATCATTTACCTTTTTTTTTTTTTGCTGTCAAAGAAATGGTTCCTTATAACTCATCAGGTGGGAGGGTAACATGGGCAGTGAAGCACTACAGATGGTTTGATTATCATCCCCTTCAGAGGGGGGCAACAATAGTAAATGTACAAAGCATTTTAGATGCCCCCACACAGACATACACACACAGCCTTTCTTCCCATTAAATGGATCTATCTGCCAGCATGAAGCCAGTGTAAAGACTACAGGCAACAGAAAATAAGACTTCACATGCAGCTTTAGGTCCAAAGACCCTTGAGTCCACAGAGCAGGGGCAGAGGTTGTTACCTTGGCCCTTGCAGTTGAGCACTTTCTCTTTCCATCTCAATCTGTTTCAAGTTTTAGTATTCTATTGCCATATCAACACTGCTTATTGGCATTAGTCTTGGTGGGTTCACAATACCAACAATAATACACTCCCTCAAGATAACAACAATTGAAAGAATCAAAATGATTAAAAAACATCATTTTTAAAAGCAATTAATATAATAAAAACAATAAAACTATTGCCCCCAGGAAATCCAAAATACATAATAACGCTTCATCTCCAGATGACCTTCCATGAAACCCTAGTGAGCAGCATGCAGTGCAAAGTCAACAGTATTCAGCAGCTGGACATGTGCTACTCTGAAATCTGGCTGTTTGTGTTTTAGAATATCTAAGCCTCTTGTGAGAGGGGAGGAAGTTAAAAAGGCCTTGAGCTGCATGAGAGGGATCTTTCAAAATCTTAAACCCTTTATTTTGTAATCTTGCTTTATCAGTTTTCTTCCACTGATGAAATAATGTTTGTTATTCTGTGCACAACCTTATTCAACAGTCTCTTATCTTCTGGAAAGCAGGATATCAAGCATATGTTTTCTTAATGCAAAAAGCCTTGTATTTCCATTTAGTACTCTGCTAATGTGTACTCTGTAAATGTGAAAAGAGAAGCCCGCTTTTTTTACAGTATATATTCCAAAAATTAATAATGAAAGCTGCCAACTACTAACATGCTGTAGTTGTCATGGCAAATTGTGTACTTTGCCTTTCAAATCCAGACTCGAGCTCATTTACATTAAAATGCTTACCAATGCCAAGAAGAGCAGATGTCCAATGTTAACATAAACTGAAATAACTGACAGCTGACCCTTTCCTCCTTTGTGGTGGCATGTTCTGAGTTCCTACAAGTCTGTTTAGTTATGTTGACTCAAGTCGACTGTCAAAGAAATGGTAAACGGACTGTATTTTATATAGCACTTCCTCACAGTGTGTTGCACTGGCCAAAGCGCTTTACAGAAGATCATACACCATTCACACACAGATGACGACAGGCTGTCACGCACCGGCACTAGTCAAGCCACCGGGAGCAATTCAGGGTTCAGTGTCTTGCTCAGGGACACTTAGGCATGCAGGGAGACCGGGAGTCGAACCACCAACTTACTGGTCAGGAGACGACTGCCCTACCTCGTGAGCCATAGCCACCCACAGTCCCTAAGCACTTATCAGGTGGGAGGGTAATGTGAGCGGGGGAGAGCTGCAGATGGTTTGATTGTCATCCCCAGGGAGGTGGCTAGACAATAGCAAATACAGCCTTTCTTTCCATTATATAGATAGTCTGTCAGCATTGTTACATATGTTCTCACAGTCTAAGGTTTTGTATATGTCATCAAAGTTTGTTTAACCAGGTTGTGGTTTGACACAGTTCAATGCATTTGCATTTGGTTTTACAAAACCTCAAGATTATAAAAGGTCATACATACACTGATAGGCTGTTTGTATAATTTAAAAATGAGCAAAAAGTTTACTTTGCAGCAACCATTTTAAACAGAAATACAATGGAAAGTACACAATTAAAACAGGACAACAGATGCCACACATTCACTGTCCAACCATATAGCAGCTCAGAAAGCTCCAGAACCTGGAGATTAGCCAGAATACGCAGAGCAACTTCTAATATCTTTGTTACATATACAGCCCAAATGTTTACATTTACTTTTGTCACTGTTAAAAACAAAGCTATCTTACTTTTAATACAATACCTTAGTGTTAAAAATCCTGTACTGCAGCTCTCCTCCAGTCTGGACAGAGCCTTGTCCACAAAGCTCAGCAAAGTACAGAGAGTAGCTGTCACCAGATCCAGAGTGTCACCTCGTCTCCACTCAGCGCTATGCCTGTCACTCTACCTGCCCTCTCACTTTACCCACAGGCCTCATCAATAAGCTATCAGGCTGGTCACAGCAGTGGCAATGATGTCACTACCAGCACGCAGACCAACCACTCCCCACCTCTGCCTAGTGCCTCATATGCAAAACGCACAGACTCAGGTGCTGCCCTCTCTGGGACTGGCTGCACACTGATCTCTCAAGCTTTAGGTTTATTAGAATATTCCAGCCTCCAGTGCCCCAAAGTAGCAGCAGAAAATGTTTGAAAATAAACTAAGTGTAGGCCACATTTTCTACAATAGTAGTATAAGAGTTTAAAAAAAAAGAGGCAAAGTAGTCATTTCTCTGAGGCTGCTTCACACAAAACTTTTGACTTCAGTCAAAGCAAATACAGACAAATGAGGTAAGAGAAGCAGCCTCAGAGCAATGTATGGGATATGGTCCTAAACAAAGAAAGACACCAAGCTGTCTACAGGTTCTGAGTTTGATCCATGCATTCTGCAGCATCCCTGCACGAGGAGACTTTCCCCTGATACTATGGTGCCCAAGGTAGATTGTTTTTCCCTAACATATATGCAACACACACACATTTTAATAGTGTGTGAGTGTGCTCTTATACGCATGTGTGCATGTGCTCTGAGCACTGGGTTTTGTTAAATTGTTAATGACGGTGCGCCCTGGGCTGGTCACCTGGGTACAGAGAGGGGGCGGCACTAATTAAAAACTCAACCCCACATGGCTGATGGCGCATGCTGTTACACACAAACAACCTTTCTCTAGGCTGATTTAGATATGTGCTATCTGTGTCGTTACAATGCAAGAAAAAAACATGATATCAAAATATATTTTCTTGTCATACTTGCCTAAATTAATAAAATTAAACTAAAATAAAAAAATGGATCTTTTAACACTATCTCATCACATCTGTATCTCTTGTGGTGTTTGATTGAAGCTAAAGGAACGTTGTTCATACAGCTGGATAACAATCAGGACATACAGTAAATTCTCCATGAGATGAAAGTGAACCCACACACTGGTTATCTTGATCATAATTACAGCACTTCCTGAACAACTAAGTTACATTTTAATTTGAATTATAACATCACCTCCAGTTAAATGTAGTTCACAACAGCACTGAACCAGCAGAAGCAACAGTGAAACTACTGTTGATGCCCCTTTTGATTGCTCCTTCTTGTCAGCTCTTTCAACACACTTTTGAGTGATCTGTGGCCAGGTTAATTACAAGAATTGAGATCAAACCCATCAAAACACCCACTGTGTGTCAGCCCAGAGGCCTGGCCCGGTAATGAGCATCTGTGTTAGCCTCATTAGCCATGCTAATGCAAAAACATCATGGTTGGCACATAGACAAGGCACACTGTTACATAAGAGCAATAGCCCAACTGATTAGGCACCAGGGAAAATGGCAGTTAATGGCCAATTTATTTAAACACCCCAGCCCCTCTGCTGGTTTAGGTTTGTTCTATATCACTCATCATGTTACAGGCCAAACAAAACAGCTACTTGAGAAATTTTTCTCCAAATTTGCAGGTTAATAAATTAATGGGAACATATTTAAGCTGCAATTACCTAACCTACTGTATATAATAAACTGCTATGTCCCATCCCATGTAAAAGAGACTAGCAGTTATTACTTACTAAATATTTCTGCACAGTGCAACTGTTTGATGGACAAACACCTTCGGTGAGGAAATCAACTTGTACACAGCTTCATCTTCTGAGCTCATGCTGGAGTTCACCACTGCTGTTCTTACCTCCTTTTTGCCACTGTTGTCCTCCACGTGCCGCAAATTGCTTTTCACCTTCAGGAACTCAACTGATGACACCTCATGAGGGGCCTGTGGTGCTGGGTAGCTCGGGGGTAGAGGGGGCAACGGAGCAGACTGTGGGGGAGGCGGGGGCGGATAGGCCGGTGGTGGCGGGGGCTTGGAGGCAGCATCAGACTGTATCTCATTCTTCTTGGGCATCTCAGAGCCAATGTCTGGGTTTAGCATGTCCATATACGCCTGCATGTCAGAAATGGCTGACTCTGACACACCTGTGACAAAGACAGAGTCCATATGAGTATGTTTAATGTAAACTGGAAACCAGACATGGTGTACCTCTAATTTAAATGACCAAAACAAAGCAACATTTGCTCCATTCTTTTCTCTCAATACACCATTTGGACATTAATGAGAAACATGAGTGATTCTAATAGTCCAACAATGTGCATACAGACCACTAGGGTGCAGCACCAGTGTATCATGCACCTGAGACAGAACAAATGGAAGCAAACTGCCGCATATTATTAGTTTCAGTAAAGTGAGTATTCCACCATTTGCTGATGTGGTATTTGGCATGTAAAAGAAACAGCAGTTGAAGGTTAGAGGCTAAATGATTGTAGACAGCACTTGTTTCACACACCACTCTGACTATGAGCTGATTATAAAACTTATTTCACCGTTGAGCTCCTCAGCCTTTGATATTTCAATTTAGAAACTGGAAAATCATTTGGAATGACTTCAAATAAAAAATACCATTACAACCAAAGGACATTTCTAGTGACCTTGGTGGTGTACATTAGAAAACAATAAATAAAAGTTTCAGAAATTTTCAGTGCATGCATTGCAGACCTGAATGAGCAACTGTGCTCAGCTGAGTAGGCGGGCCTCGTGATGTAGTTAAGCTGCTCCTCTTCTCTCCGGTGCTGGACTGGCTGGAGTTGGCTGAGTCGTAGTTGGACAGGGAGCTCGATGGGGAACTGATGCCAAAGTGTGCTGTCTGATTAGCAGGGGGCATGGTGGTGTTTGGGGACGACAGACCCGAGTCTGGCTGCTTGTACTCAAGGTCCAGTGAGGGGTCCCGGGACAGAACACGGTGCTCCACACTCTGTCAGAGGTTGCAGTTTATGAATACAAGTGCTAATATGTCTGTTTTGGTGAACTGTCCAATATGGGGATTAGGTTCACAAAATTCACAATTTGGGGTCACAGTTTTTGGTTTGTAACTTTTTGGTAAAGTGCATCACCCCTGGGGATTTTTTTTCCCCTCTGGGTCATTTATATTTTTGCTGCCACTCAGCGTGGTGAGGACAGTTTGTCTGTCCTCTCTGTTCTGCTGACACATAGACCTGACCTGAACTCATCGCTCACATCTTGCTTTCTGTGTGAATTCTCAGTAAATCCGCAGCAGACCAAAGTAACACTGACAGATGCTATAACTGTCTTATCCACTTGCCATTTTCAAAACTGACTGACAGTTGATCTCCACATTTTATCCGTACCAACCAACTTTTCACTGGGTTAAGGACAGCAAGTATTTTGTTGCACCAGTGTGGATAGTCTTGTGTTTTTCAGTGTTGTGTTTTGGCTTGGGAGGACAGAGTAAATTATTATTGTTATTGTTCAACCATAATTTCACACAGAGTCCGCTGAAGTGGAGGCTAGGTAGTTCTGCTAATAAGGCAAAAGTTCAAATGCCATTCTTCATCTCAGTCTAGAACAAATGCTGTACATTTTCTTGTTTAAATACAAATAGATTGAATACACTGCATCTAGTTTTGTTCCTAAGTTTTATCGAACAGGATTTGATGCTGGTGTAGATTAAAATACGTTGTTCCTCCCTGTCCACAGGGAAATCAGAGGTCAGTATGCAGTTTAGCAAGACATATTTGACACAGCTCTTACCATGTTCTCCACAGTGCGCAAATATTTGGCACACTGGGTGTGGCCATTGTATTCAGCCAGGTCTGCTGCTGTGAAGCCGTCCTGGTCCCTGATGCCCAGGTCCACCCCGTTGACCATGAGGATCTGACAGCACTGATGGGCCAGATGAGATATAAAGTGGTACATGTAAGATAGAAGCGAGGTGGGGAAAATGACAGTGTGAATGCTTAAAATCAGTTTCAGTAAGTACAAATAAATATATTTTGCACAAAATGACAAACGATGACTAAAACACTTGGGTGTTGATCTTTATTGGTAGTGATTCTCTGGTCTAGTTTTTACCAATTTTGTGTTAGCAAAAAAAAACAAAAAAACTCATACTCGGTTTTCCACATTAGTCATGACATGCACAGTAAAGACATGTAGAAACATGCTACAATTTTATACAAGAAAATATGGGGAGAGAGGTTATCACATGCAGCAGCTGGTTATATGGTGTGCGCATTAGAAAGCTACTAGGCACCTCTGATACTGCATTTGATTGAATGACTTAGCATCTAATTCATAGACTTATGATCACAGTAAAGCCAGAATAAGCATGTTGTTCTCAGACTGAGCAAGCTTTGTGTTGCCATATTGACTTGTGCTTCAATTTGCTTTGTAAAATGTTCTCTCCAGTCCAGAACTTGGGCCAGCATCTTCTGAGTTGAAGTTTGTTCAGTTTTAAACACTTCATAAGCAATGCATAAACAAGACAAAAATATAGTTTCCTCTACTTCTAATAGCTCAAGCTAGTGTTGAAACAGCTGACTAACATTAGTCAAAGTGGTGGGTTGGAGTGGTGGCACAACCACGAGCCACAGGTCTTACATTCAAAACAGATGGTTAAGTGTGAAACCCAGTATGAATATGTGAACACCAAGAATCACAATGCCCCCACATAACTCGTATGACTGTCAGATTCAAAGAGCAGGCCGACTAAGGCACTGTTAAATATTAACTATACACACTGAGAATGTACACATTATAATCACTTTGTGAAAATCATGCAGCACCTCTTTCTCTGATGGCTTAAATTCTAATTGTTTCACTATCTATACTAATAAAATGTTAAAAGGAGTGACATATCACTACAATAAATAAGTAAATAAAATACAGTAAGATGCAAACACGCACCTCTAATTCACCATTCTCTGCAGCGTCGTGAAGTGGGGTACCTCCCCAGTTGTCAGTGATGATCTCTCCACCATGTAGCAGCAGCCAGCTGAGCACCTTTGCATGGCCACGACTGGCTGCAAAGTGCATGGCCGTAGCCCCATCATTATCTCTGTCTGCCAGGCTGATCTCCGTGAAACTCATCTAAAGGAGGGAGGATAATAACACAAGCTACAGTCATGTTTTATAACAGTGTGAATTCAGAAGTATTTCATCTTAAATATGAATAATATTTTAATACATTATTTACAGGATGTGGATCTAGGATTAAATCTATGTATTTTTTTGCAAGATTTGATCTGCAATGTCCTGATAGTCCAACATACCAGCCAGACAATAACAGTGTTGTGGCCCATCTGGGCAGCAGCATGCAGTGGTGTCATCCCATCATTGGCTCGGATGCTTGGATCTGCCCCACAATCCTTGACCAGGTATTGGATGACCTCCAGTTGACCCTCCTGGCATGCCAGGTAGAGCGGTGTGGCACCATTCTTAGTTTGGGCATTAACAACACTGAAGGTAAATAAGGTTACGTTAACATCACAGGCCTTAATGCTCAGTCCCATTTTTTGTGTCAGATCTGATATTTTTGTGTCATTGGTCCACATTCACGTTTGCAGATGACATATATCCTGCTCCGGTGTGAACACCTCTGAGGTCCTAAACTGCTGTCCATGTGCAGATTTGAACTGAAATGTGAGCCTTGTGCAGATAAGAATAACGTCATGTGTAGAACGGTTAATTGTGTAGTGTACTCAGACTTCTTGGTTATAGTATGTTTCTCCCAGTTTGCTATTATCAGGATCTTGCCCAACCAGTCCACATGTGTTTCGTGGATCTGGAGAAGGCATTCGACCGTGTCCCTCGCAGTGCCCTGTGGGGGGTGCTCCGGGAGTACGGGGTCCGGGGCCCTTTGCTAAGGGCTGTCCGGTCCCTGAACGGCCGGAGCAGGAGCTTGGTTCGCATCGCCGGCAGTAAGTCAGACTTTTTCCCTGTGCATGTTGGACTCCGGCAGGGCTGCCCTTACTCCGGCAGGGCTGCCCTTTGTAACCGGTTCTGTTCATTATTTTTATGGACAAAATTGCAGCCAGGGGCCGGAGGGAGTCCGGTTTGGGGACCACAGGATTTCGTCTCTGCGTTTTGCAGATGACATTGTCCTGCTGGCCCCATCAAACCAGGACCTCCAGCATGCACTGGGGCGGCTTGCAGCCGAGTGTGAAGCAGCTGGGATGAGAATCAGCACCTCCAAATCCGAGGCCATGGTTCTCAGTCGGAAAAGGGTGGCTTGTTCCCTTCAGGTTGGTGGGGAGTTCCTGCCTCAAGTGGAGGAGTTCAAGTATCTTGGGGTCTTGTTCACGAGTGAGGGAAGGATGGAATGGGAGATTGACAGGCGGATTGGTGCAGCTTCTGCAGTAATGCGGTCCATGTACCGATCTTTCATGGTGAAGGAGCTGAGCTGTAAGTCGAAGCTCTCGATTTACTGGATAGGATAAGGATAACCACCTTTATTGGCCAAGTATGTTACACACAAGGAATTTGTTTTCGGTACAGAACCGATGGCAGCAATCTGCGGCGCCATCTCAACCAATGGCTCTAACCATCGGGGGCAACGGGGGTGTTCAGTGTCTTGCCCAAAGACACTTCGACACGTGGACTGCCAGCACAGAGATTCGAACCTTCAACCTTCTGGTTGGGCGACGACTGCTCTAGCCACCGCACCACTGTCGCTTCCCCTCTCCTTGATTTACTGGTCGATCTACATTCCGACTCTCACCTATGGTCATGAGCTTTGAGTCATGACCGAAAAGGCAAGATCCCGGATACAGGCGGCCGAAATGAGCTTCCTCCGCAGGGTGGCTGGGTGCAACCTCAGAGACAGGGTGAGGAGCTCGATCACCCGGGAGGAGCTCAGAATAGAACCGCTGCTCCTCCACATCGAGAGGAGCCAGCTGAGGGGGCTCGGGCATCTGTTTTGGATGCCTCCTGGGCGCCTTCCTAGGGAGGTGTTCCCGGCATGTCCCACCGGGAGGAGGCCCCGGGGAAGACCCAGGACACGCTGGAGGGACTATGTCTCTCGGCTGGCCTGGGAACGTCTCAGCATTCCCCCGGAGGAGCTGGAGGAAGTGTCTGGAGAGAGGGAAGTCTGGGCATCTTTGCTTAGACTGCTGCCC